ATTAAGGTTCTCTAAGGGGAGTCTAGGTGGCGCGTTTGCTGGTGGAGGCCGGCGCCTGCCCAGATGCGGCCGACGACGAGTCCTACACCGCCCTGATGTTCGCCGCTCACCATGGCCGCCTGGCGGTCGTGCGCTTGCTGGCAGAGGCCGGTGCCCAAAAGGACGCGGCCGACGACGATGGCTGCACCGCCCTGATGCTCGCAGCCCAGGAGGGCCACATGGATGTAGTGCGCTTCTTGTTGGAGACCGGCGCGGACAAGGACGTGGCCGACAAAAATGGAAGCACCCCCTTGATGAGAGCAGTTCTCCGAGACCACCTGACGGTTGCGCGACTGTTGCTGGCTGCTGGCGTCGACACGGATGTCCCCGACGACGATGGCGACACAGCCTTAATGTTCGCAGCCAAGAAGGGTCAGATTGAAGTTGCTCGCTTGCTGGTGGAGGCTGGCGCCGATAAGGATTTGGCCAACAGCGATGGCGACACAGCCTTAATGTTCGCAGTTCTCCAGGCTCATGATGAAGTGGTGCGGTTACTGGTGGAGGCGGGCACCGACAAGGACATTGCCAACAATGTTGGCTACACAGCTCTGATGTTCGCAGCACGGCAGGGCCAGGTTGAAATGGCGCGCCTGCTGGTAGAGGCCGGCGCTGACAGGGACGTGGCTGACAGCCGAGGCTACACAGCCCTGATGCACGCAGCGTGCGGGGGCCACGCTGCAGTCGCCCGTCTTCTGGTGGAGGCCGGCGCCCACAAGGACAAGGCCAGCAAGGATGAGGGCGACACCGCCTTGATGCTCGCCGCTCGCAGTGGCCATGTTGAAGTGGTGGCTTTGTTGCTGGAGGCTGGGGTTCTAAACCTTAAACCCTAAACCCTCAACCCTCAGCCCTAAACCCTAAACTCCTAAATTTCAGGCCTAGCGGCACGGGCCGGCCCCCGCCCCCCAAAGCACGAAACCTTGAACCTTGGCACTGTCTTCTCTTTCCCGTGTCTTTGTCCTCTCCTTCTCTCTGTCTCTCTTTCTCCTGCCTTCGCCCCCCCTCCCTCCCCCCCCCCCCCCCCCCCCCCCCCCCCCCCCCCCCCCCCCCCCGCGCGCGCGCGCCGCGCGCGCGCGCGCGCACCCGCATCAGGAGCATCAGTGGGGTTGGTTTGGGGGCCTTAAAAGCATTCTATGCATGCGTTTTGCCTTCGAAAAACCTTCAGAAAACGCTGTAAACACGTGTTTTTGGGCTTGGGAAGCCTTTTGGGACCCAGGAAGGGAGCATCATGAGCATCAGCGGCCTCCCCCAGGCCATCCAAAACCCCCTTAAACACGCCGATTGTATGTGCTTGAACGCTTGCGTGCCCACGAAACCCCCAAAAGCAAGACCCCGAATGCCCTTAAGGGCATTCGGGGTCCTGCTGTTCGGGTGTTTTGTAGGCACGAAGCCGTTCGAGCGCGTAAAATGAGCGATTTTAGGGGCGTTTTTACGTGGACCCACAAAACACTCGGTATTTACGAGGTTTTCTGCTGTTGGAACACCCCCCCAAACCGAGCATCATGAGCATCAGCTGGGTCTCTGGGCCGTGGGCCCGGACCCCCCCACGAAGCCCAAGAGAAGCGATGGCTCGATGATGCGCCCGGACCCCGCGCATCAGCAGCATCAGCAGACCCCCCCCCGGACGTGGGTTTCGATGATGCGCACTTTGGGGGCGGGTCAAGGGCAACAGGGGTGGGGGTCGGAGGCACGCGTGAAAAACCTCATAAAAACACGGTATTTACGGTGATTTCAGCGTTTTTCAGCGTTTTTTATTGCCTTGGGCCCGCGGGCCAGGGCTGCTGATGCTCATGATGCTCGCCTGGTTTTGGGCTTCCGGTACCCCCCCCAAACCTTGAAAAACGTGGTTTCGGCCTGGCGCGCGCCCCATGTGAAAAGCTAGGGCCGATGATGCGCGCCCGTGAGGGTTTAATGGGGTGCTGCGGGTGTTTTGTGGCCTCGGTTTTTCGTAAAAACCCATGGTTTTTACGAGGTTTTCGTGCTTTTCGCACCACCGCGTGTTGCGTCCCCTTGGATGCCGTTTTGGAGGCCTCTCGAAGGGCTCTGCGCGAATTTGAAGCAATTTTGGGCGGGGTCGGCGGCTCGGGCGCTCGCCCCTTAAAGCTAGCGCTTTAGTGCGACGCGGGCTCCGCCCTGGACCACGGGCGGCGCGGGGGCCGGATTTAAGAGCCTCCGGCTCAAGCCGCCGACCCCGCTGGAGCATAGTTGAGAGGTCTAAACCCGCTCCGTTTTGGAGGCCTCCCGAAGGGCCCCGCGCGAATTTGAAGCAATTTTGGGCGGGGTCGGCGGCTCGGGCGCTCGCCCCTTAACGCTAGTGCTTTAGTGCGACGCGGGCTCCGCCCTGGACCACGGGCGGCACGGGGGCCGGATTTAAGAGCCTCCGGCTCAAGCCGCCGACCCCGCTGGAGCATAGTTGAAAGGTTTAAACGTGCTCGTCAGCTCAAAGGATGCCAAAAGTTGATTT